AATTTCACATTTATTATTGAATGGTATGAAATAAGAGGAAACAGTGATTGCTTATTTTTTCTCAAATACTATGCTAAATTTAACTTTTTCATTATTTTATCCTCTTCACTTTAAAGGTATTGTTATAGGTAAGTAAACTAAAACATTTAGAGATTTATGGCTGAAAGTTGTACTACTAATTAAAGCTAGAGCCAGCATCCAGACCTAGGCAGTCTGACGAAAGAGTCCATATTCTTAATTCTGTTATAATCTGAACCACTCCACCTCCCCTCTACACTCTACCCCGACCCCAGCATTTAGTAAAATTTATGTAGACAGTGACTTTTATTGAAGAACTTCTGTTTTAAGGACTAAATTTTCTGGCTACCTAAGTATAGAGTTATTTATGGGAGTTATTTATTTAATGTTTATACAGGCATACTTTGGAGATATTGCAGATTTGATTTTAGTCTACAATAAATATTGCAATAAAGCAAGTCGTAATCTTTTTGCTGGTGGAAGGTCTTGCCTTCAATTTGTAAAAAACACAACACTTGTGAAACACAGTAAAGCAACGTGCAGTAAAACAAGATATGCCTGTATTTAAAATCATAGGTTTAGCAGTACCTCAGACTGTTTCCAGCATATATTATTAGGTGATTAAATGGCTTTGTTATATAAGGCATTAGTCAAAAAATCATTTGATTGGCCATTTATAGAAAATATAGTCCTCGATAAGGAAATACAAATATTATGTTGCTGGTATTAGGAAATAGACCTAAAGTATATGACCCTTGAAAGCCTGTAACACTGGTATATTAGTTTGCTATAGGGCTGTCATAACAAAGTACAAGTTGAGTGACTTAACAGAAATTTATTTTCTCAGTTTTGGGGGCTAGAAGTCCAAGATGAAGGTGTTGGCAGGGTTGGTTCCTTCTGAAGGCTGTGAGGAAAGGATCTGTTCTAGGCCTTTCTCCCTGGCTTATAGGTGACCACCTTCTCCTTGTGTTGTCTGTCTGTACATGTCCCTGTTCAGATTTCTTCTATTTATAAGGATACCAGTCATTTCATTAGTTTCCATGTTAATGACCTCATTTTAACTTAATTACTTCTGTAAACAGTCTTTCTCCAAATAAGGTCCCATTCTGAGAGGCTGGGTTTAGGACTTTAACATATGAATTGGGGAGCATTGGGCACAGTTCAACTCACAATAGCTGGTGTTCATAACATTCTCTTAAATGATACAGTACAGCAGCTGTTTTGTTTTGTTCCCAGCATTATGGGTAGAAATGTAATTACCTTTTGCTCATTCCACTCCCAACCTGAAAACAGAATCTGAAGCTTTTGCCCCTGCTTTTTGTAGGCAGCCAAAGGAGAGCATTATTTCCAGTTTGGGAAGAGTCTTAGAGAAAGTGCTTGGCTCCTGGCCCAGTTTACTGGCTGTGGGCTTGTGGACTATCTCCGCTGTGGCTTAAAAGCAGGGAAGAGAACTGTTCTCTGCAAATAGAAGTTTTAGAAAATTATTAATGAGACTTTATAATTATTACAAACATATCTAAAATAGAAATAACTTTAATAATATCAACTACCAAGTACTTATCCTAGATCAGAGGTTGACAGACTTTTAATGTAAAGGGCCTTACAGACACTCATAACTGCTCAACTCCTTTAATGTGAAAGCTTCGTTACTTAACACTTAAATGAATAGGTATATCTGTGTTGCAGTAAAGCTTTTTTACAAAATAGGTTGCTGGTAGCTTGTGGGCAATAATTTGAAGACTTTTGGCATAGGTTATAAGGGTACTACCTCATTTATTTAATGCTAAAGTACAGCAAGGTATTTACTAAGTATGAAATAATTTATTCTGAGTATTTCAAAATAGGATAGAGTGTTATAACTGTAAATGGAGCATAAAGAGTTTAGCACAACCCTTATTTTACTGATAACTGATGTTCAAAAATCACGAATTTGCAGAGCTTGGTGACTGATTAGATTAGGGAGAAAGCCAGTGGGTGGCAAGAATGAGACCTAGAGTCAAATGGGAGACTCCTGATTTGAGTGCTTTACTTGTAGAACTCTCTATTGTTGTTTCAGCCTGAGGCCCATCCTCTCTTATCCCAGACACACATACACACACAGGAGGCAAGGGTTACGATTAACAAATGAAGCTCTAGGCTACAGGGAACAGCCCCAGATCACACAGCCTATTGGTTACAGAGTCATTATTAGCTCACAGGTCCTGCTCTTGGGCTCCTTCCGCTAACCCCTAACTGTCTCAACATCCAAACCTCTCTTCAGCTGCATTGCTGTCTAGAGCCCAGAGTAAACTGATGTAAGTAAATCAGATTTTTTATTTTTTTGAATTACTTTCTGGTTTATCTTCAAATGACCTAGGCATTTGTCTAATTTTGGAACTCTTACCTTAAATAACCTTTTTCCTTAAAAAACTATTATTTCAGAGTATATTGTTCTATATATGAATTATTAAATGTAAAGTTAGGTTAGAGGAAGCTAGTTATCTGGATTTTTTAATATAATCTAACTGTGGTATGAAAGGGAGGGATATAGCCTATTTGATCCTATAGTTGATCTTTGCTTAGTTTCTTTTTGCTTTTAACATATCAGAAATCTAATCACATCTTTACTCTGGAAAGGCGAGCCCGAATTCAGATATCTCATGTGGCATATGTTCTGGCTGTAAATCTTAAGGAAAAGTTCACTTGATACATATGGATTTGTGGGAGAAGGGGAGTCTAATATAAAAAGTATTTGATTACTCAATTGGGCATAACTATCTTGGGTTTAATGAGATGTGCCTCTAGCATCTAAGAGGTTTTCCATAAATGCTGGTTTGCAATAGTCATCAATGGCATCATCCTTAAATTGCTTCCTTTATTGTCTTCAGTTTCTCAGCAGTGCTTTTTCCTACCACAGTGTCTCCCAGAAACCTAACTTCAAAAATTGGGATGGAACCGCTATTGTATATTCTTTTCTGTTTTAATGACTAGGAAATAGTAAAGAAATTAATCTTAGTGACTTACGGTCATTCTTATAAACCACAAATACTATGCTCTGTATAGAGCACAAGATGATGCCACCAGAGCTGTTAGGTTTGGTTTTATTTATCTGTACGAAGACTATTTTGTGTCTTAAGTGGATATCAGGCCTCATTCTTCTCTACCTTTGTCTATCCAGGGTACCTGTCTCTTCTGAGTGTCTGCGTCACTACCCTTCAGCCCTTAATGCCAGGACTTGTCTTTCTATCGTGCATGTTAAATACAAAATTGTAGCAAGAGACATAGTAATAGAGAACCATTGACGTTCAAAGCAGATAAATGGGAGAATGAAGGAACCTACCTTCTATATTGCTTCTTCGCTATCTCTAGGGCTCCAACCTTCTAACCTGTAAACATTTCAAATGTTTGTACTATCCACATTCTACCTCTTACCAAAACAAACACTGACGTTATTGTGGTTAGGCAGTCTATATGTTTTAACCATCTTTGACAAATAATTGTTCAAATGTTTATTACGTGAACAATCCACTCCCTCTGGCTCGTTCTTTATTTTACTGACTCCCTTTCTTTCTCCCAAAGCCTAATTGAGCTATCTTGAAAGCTCATATTGGTGGTTGATTCTTTCAGTGTCCTCGCTGTCACTGCCCACAGAAGGTTTGACTACTCTCAGAATTTCAGTTGCTGCATTTGTGGATGATTTCCTACACCTGCATTTCATTTCATTTCATTTTCTCTCACATTTAAGACTTATAAATCTACCTCTAATATACCTGTGCTATGTGTAGTAGGTACATTTATTACATGTTAATCTTTGTATCAAAGTTTTAGGGGGTCTGTTTTATAGATGACAAAATTTGGGTTCAGAGAGTTCAAACAATTAGGGACCCATAACTAGCTAGTAGTTACTAGATTCATAATTCAGAGTCACCGCACTTGATTATTCCCTGGGACCTCGCCCTTAAAACATAGAATGTAAATATTAGGAGGTCTGAATTCTAGCCTTGATTCTGCTATAGTTGACTTTGACTTAAAGCTATTCGCTATACCTACATTTCATCATCTAGAAAATAAGGAAATTGGACTAGATATCGAAAGCCATTTCTCACTAGCCAGTTATGATTTTGGATATAAATCTAGGATTGCTTATAGTGCAGGACCTGTCACCACTTCCTCTACACTTTTAAGAGCCAGGGCTGTTTCTCTCTACTTAGATATAGGATGATTCTACAATGTGCTGCTTCTGTTTGATTGCGACCTAGGTACCAAATCAGTGAATTTTATGTAGGCGACTGATTTTTTTTCCCCCTCAAATTATATAATACACTTTTTGTCTTACTAAATGTATTTCTATTTAGTAAGAATAATTTTTGTCCATTAAGTCAATGATTTTTAAACTATCCATAGTTGATTTTATTATTATTATTACTTCCCTAAACCTTTAGGTATAACCTGGAAAGACATCTGGGTTGGTTCATTTCTTTCTCAGTTTTTTTTTCTTAAGTCTATAGCCATCGTATCCATTTTATATAATAACTTTATATTACCAATGTGTTTTTAATTGTCACTGGAAAAATTTGATATTATTATATTGTTAACATGATACGTCCATTAGTAAAGAAATATAATGAACACTTTGTAATGGTCTACATTTTATGTCTGAGTATTCTTATTCATTTATTTAAGAATTTGAGTTTTTAACACACATTCTAAAGTGGGGTCTCATTTTTACTTTGGATATGCTCTGTATAAAGGTGACTTTTCTAGCCCATATATGATGTTTCTTTTATTTTTAATAAAAAGAGCTGATACCTTATTGGATAATCATATCAATTAAAAAAATAGTTTTGTTTTGTAATTAAAGGTAATTCATTATCAGACAGTATAAAACAAAGTACTACTTTTTCAATTGTTTATCTAATTTGGACTATAATTATTATTTCGGTAGATTTACTTTAAAATTTTTATGCAAAATATTTCAATTTATTTTTTTCTTCTTGTTGCAGGAGCTAGAGTTAATGCCAAAGACAGCAAATGGTTGACACCTTTACACAGAGCAGTTGCATCTTGTAGTGAGGTATGAAATTTCTCTTAGTAAATACATTGTATATAAAATCATTAAGTAGGCTTACCTGTGATCCCATATTCAAATTCTGTATTTTCAAAAGAAGAGAAAACAACTGAAAATGGAGAGTCTGAAGTAGCAGAGAGTAGAAGAACCTTCCTTCTATAATTAATACAAGAAATTATTTTTCTCTTATAAAATCGTCCTCAGGGGTTATCTCTAAGGTGGTTCACAGTAGCCTAATAGACGTTGCAAAGGTTCTACTTGATTGTGATCAAGAAGCAGTCTCAGCTTCTTGAGATGATTATTGAAATATTGTTTAGGTAAACATTGAAATTAGTTTCAAAACATCACTTGATGTCACATTTTACCAGTTCTAAATATATAACCTTAAAATATCTTAGGTGTCTTATGAGGAAGAACAGTTCCTATTCGTAACCCTATATATTGTTTGCTCTTGAGATAACTGACATTGGGTGGGAACATTGTTTTTATGTTTTTCATATCTTCTAGTCCTCATGACATCCTTGTAAGATAGACGTTTTGAAGAAACTATTAGTGATATGCCAGAAACCACTCAGCTCTTGAGTAGTAGAAATGGGACAAAACTTGGACTTTTTTTTTTCTCTGTCATTTTACTGCCTTTCTAAAATGTGTTGGGTGCTTTTAAAAAATGAATTGTGCCCAAAGCACCCCTAAAATTTAAAATGTAAAAGTATGAGATCGTATACATTAATGTTAACACAGTTTTTCTATAGTTATTAAAATTGAGAGAGACAAGAAAATGTAGGTATTGCTCCTCCCATCATGGGACCAGGTAGTTATGGAGAAGGCAAGGGAACTTTAGTGCCTTAGGAGAATATTTCTACAAGAGAAACTGGGAGAAATCCTGTCTCTTCGATCTTTTTTGTATTCCTCATTGTGAACTACATCTTGAACCCAGAACAAGGGTTAGGCAAGTGAAGAGAAGTAGAGGGGGAAAGTGACTGGGAAGGATTACAAACCCTGAAATGTGACAGTCAGTCAGTTAACCATAAACTCCTGGTTAGGAGAAGGAGGAAGAGAACAATGGCTACACATGAGCACACATTTAGCTGGGATCTGGTCCTTGGATGTACTGTAGCTGATGAACTATGGAACTTAGATTTGGAGAAACTGGCTTCAAATAGCACTTGCCACTTTTTAGCTGTGTGGTCTTGAGCACATCTGGGTATTATCATGAAAACTAAGACATGCTAACTAAAATACTTTAAACTCTGAAATTCCATGGTAATGTTATGAAGTTTGTGGTTAGCCCTCTTATAAAGAAGTTTCTTTAATTAAAGGCAGTTAAGGAAGAGGTAAACATTACAACCTATTAATAAGATAGTCATTACCTATCCAGTTTTTAATATGAGTCTTGGGAATATGACTTAAAATTAGTGGGAGTTTTGCCAAATTAAATCATCAGAAAGAACACTTTATATATTTGTAGAGATTGAAAAACAGACCAAAAATTCTTAAAGATTTTCTTTATTTTACTTAACTTGAGAAGAGTGCAGATACTTGCCTGCTGATTTTAAAATGTTATGTACTTAGCCTGAACTTAAAGGGAAGCTATAGAATAGAAAACAGTGATCCTAGTAAGTTCCTTATGCCTGCTTTTCAGCCTAAAAATTACTGGCCTGTTTAGTGGTATTACTCTTTTCAGGATTATGGGAAACAGCTATAAAATGTGACTATTTCATAAAAATAAAACTTCTGTAAAGGTTTGTTTTTCTTTTTAAAAGAAAATCTCAGAATTAGCCAAACTCTAAGAAACCTAGTCAAGATTATCAATTTTACCAGTGCTCTTTTAATTACTCACATTACATCCTGAAAGCAAAAGAGAGCTTATAAATATTTCATTTAACAGAAAAAATAACCAGAGGGGTACGTAAAAGGCAAAATTTTAGGTAGCTCTTGGTTTATGTTTTTACGATACCACGTGAGAAGTAAGCCCTACAGAAGAAAATTGGAGTTATTATTTTCTAAATTTTCCCTAGGACACGCATAGCTAATACCATTGCAGATGCAAAGTAGGGCAGTTAATTCATCACAAACGGTTGGTTATGCATTAGACAATTACCTCAGTGAACCCGGGTTGAGAAAGACTGCTTCAGTTTAAATGTTCCCAGCTCCTCAACTCTCCTTCAGTGACATAGTTTCCACACACCTGGTTTTCTTGGTTGGCATCACATCTTGTGTCCACCATTGATTTGTGACATTTGTTCCTCAGGTGTAGCCTATAATTCAGCTCTCTTTAAGTGCTGACTATTCTGAATAAATTGATTGCTGAGTGCTAGGGCTTTTTGTGCGTCCGTTTTTTTGTGTTTTTTGGTTTTTTTTCCTAAAAATTCATATCACCTCTGGATCCTCTAAAGGATATACATTTATTTTTAACCTAACTCTAGGAATTACATATTAACTTTATCAAGATAACAGTTTAAATTATATTATCTTGCAAGATATTAGCAGTCCATCTAAATATTCTATTTATCTGCAAATTTGTTAGCCCTTCTTTTTCCTGTGCCTGACTTCAAATCATTGGTAAAATTGCTTAAAAGGCAGAGCCAAAGCTTACTCTGTAGAAACTATTCTAGATTGACCCCAAGCTGTGAATAAATACTCTTTGGACATAATTATTTAACCTATTGTCATCACCCCATATTTCATAATCTTATTTAAATTGATATAATAGGATATTTACTTAGCTGGGGTTTTTTTTAAGTCGAGGTACAGCATTTCTTATATGTACATGCCCTCTAAAAATAGAAAAAATGGGATTAAGGTTACTGTGGTAATACTTGATGTTAGTGAAACTGTATATACCCTTGATTATCCCTACATTACTTTCAAAACGTTTGTAATGTGCTGATAGTAGATGATCTAGAATTTTACTGGGATATGACTACAGGCTCATTAGTTTGTAATTTCCAGAAATTCACCTGTTTTATTTATTGTCTCCAATCTTTAGAGATTTCTTTAGTTGTCTCTGAATTTTCAAAGATCACTGCCTTGTTCGTGATATGACATGTGTTATTCCAACTAATAAACGGTGGCTATATTAGTCAGTTTGGGCTGCCATAATGAAATACCATAGACCAGGTAGCTTAAACAATAGAAATTTATTTTCTCAGTCCAGAGGCTAGAAGTCGCAGATCAAGGTCCAGCACAGTCAATTTCTGGTGAGGCTTCTCTTCCTAGCTTTCAGACTGCCACCTCTTGTCTTCACATGGTGCAGAAAGATGGGGGCAAGAGGATATTTCTTTGTCTCTCTCTCTCTAAGGCTACCAGTCCTATCAGGTTAGGGATCCTTCCCTTATGATCTCATTTAACTTTTATTACCTCCTGAATATTCTTTCTCCAGATATAGTCACACTGAGGTTTAGGACTTCAACAGATGTATTGTGGGGTAACACTATTCAGTCTGTAGCAGTGGACCCAAGATTTAAACTTTGTTCTGTCTTGATTCCAGAGTTTTAGTCACTGTTAACAGCCTTCCTTAGGTGCCGTACTGTCTTACCTACCCTCACCTACCATAAACTGGATTTATTCTTGCTTTTCACTGAAACAAAGAATAGTTTTGAATTTTCTATTCTTACTAATGAAATATAAATATTCCCCAGACTTTTCAAAAGCCTTAATGTATGCATTGTGAATTCCAGAGTGGGAATGAATAAGGCAAGCCTAGCATTGATAGTGTGCTGTATTTGCCCAATTTATCCAATTGCAAATTCTTCAACTTGTTTTTAACTATTTTCTTGCACATCAATTAACATACCTACAGACATTTCCCAGTACAATGTTAGTTTTATTTCTCAAGTCACAGTGTACCCTTCTTAAGGATGAGGATGGAGAATCCTGATACTATTTGTACCTAGTTTTCCATAATTTTGAGTACATATCCTCTATCCTTTTCCCCATATTCCATTTATAAATTGAAGTATAAGTTACAGAAAAATGCACAGATTTTGTGTACTCTTAAATTTTGGCAAATGTGTATACCCATGTAACCTTTTTCTCAATCAAGATAGAGAAGATTTCCATTACTCCAACAATTTCCCTCATGTCCCTTTTCAATCAGTCCTCCTTTCACCAGAGGCAACCCATTTCTGATTTCTTTCACTATAGAGTAACTTTCCTTGTTCTAGAACTTTATAAAAATGGAATTACGCAATATGTACACTTGTATCTTGACTTCTTTCGTTCAACATAACATTTTTGAAACTTGTTAATAATATCGTATATTATTAGTAGTTCATTCCTTTTATTGCTGAGTAGTATCTCATTGTATTGATATACAACAGCCTGTTTATCATTTTCTTATTGATGGGCATTCGCTACTATAAACATTCTTAGATGGGTCTTTTGGAATTTCTCTTGGGTAAACAACTGGAGTAGAATTGTGGGATGATAGGGGAGGACTCCATATATCTTTGATTAGCTGGCTGACTTCCTTAGGTTGATAGATTACTATGCAACTCTCCAATCTTTTGCCACCTCTGTTAAATACCTGTTGTTTCCCATGTTTTAAACTGTTGATGACTTATTTCAAAGGCTTAAAGAGCTGCATGTGAATCACTGATAATGTATTTTGTTTAGTCTTCCTTGCTACTTTGCATGTTTATAATTATTTTGCACTTCTGAACACTTTTCGTGTGCATCAGTTTTTTTGCCGTATAGCAGACTTAAGATGAGTGGTGAACAGGTGGTATTTCCTCTCTTTGCATCTAAGCAAACTGAGGGTAAGTTTTACTAGAGATGATTCTGTTCAGGTTCCGATCCATTTCATTTCATATGTAGTTTGTTGAACTACCAAAGATAGGAATACCACTCTTAGAGAAAAATTTTTTTAGTTCTCATTATATTGCCTAATGTTGATGGCATACTGGGTTCATTAGGACTTTACCCTGAGATGTGTTGTGAAGTTTTCCTTGTGCTTCTAGGAGATGAATCTCTTTGGATAGTAAATTCATAAATTACCTTGTTAATGCCAGCTTTCCTACCAGGTAGCATCACAAAAAAGACTTTCTCTTTCTCTCTCTCCCTAATGAACTAGATCATAATGTTTTTTCATTTTGTAAAATATAGTATTTGGGAAGTATATTTAAAATTTTTATGTATATAATGGCAAAGCAGTAAATCTCCGTAAAACTGTATAAGTATAAATTAATTGTATCTCACCATCTAGAAAAATGAGATATAATGATTGTGTTTGAAGACTACCTATCAGTATTTTTCCTTGAACATTTTGATAGAGGTTATTATGCCTTTAATTGGAGAAGAGAAAAAGGGAATGTTTTATCCCAATGCATCTTATATGGCTCTGAGTATTGCTTTTAGTTCAAAATATTTTGTTTTGGGAGATAAATTTCTACTTGTTCATAGCAGGTTCCATCAGAACTGTTTTTATTTCCCTCATATACATAAAATTTCTAAAACTGTTAACTCATTTGTCTTTTATAAATTTTATCTTCCTGTGTTTTAGGAAGCAGTTCAGGTACTTTTGAAGCATTCTGCAGATGTTAATGCTCGAGACAAAAATTGGCAAACGCCATTACACATAGCTGCTGCTAATAAAGCCGTAAAGTGCGCTGAAGCTTTGGTACCTCTTCTGAGTAATGTAAACGTATCTGATCGAGCAGGGAGAACTGCGTTACATCATGCAGCTTTCAGTGGACATGGTGAGGTAGGTGATATCCAGTTGACTCTCCCTGTGCCCTCCCACTACCCCCACCCTCACCCCAATTGTTAATGAACTTGCCTTTTTTAGCATTCATTAGTCCATTATAAAAACAAACAAAAATACTTATCTTGCTAATTTAGTCTAATTTTACTACATAAGCTCTTAGATTTCTTTTCATGATAATTCATGATATGACTTTCTCAGATGTATACATTGATCAGATACAGCCCTTGTACCTACTCAATTTTCATAGTCAACCTAGAGAAACAAAGGAGACCACTACCAACTGTAACATAGTGTGAAAACTATGTTCTGTCATTGTGGAAAAAATAATCTAGGAAGATAGAGCAGTTTATTGTGCTCCCAGGAAGGTAGTAGCAAAGGAAGGCGGAGTTTAGAAAACATTTCCTTATAGTTTATTATCAACATTTCGTCAAGAATATTTTGGTGACAGACCATCAGAAGAAAACAATTTAAGAAAATGAGTATTTAATTATCTTATACAAGAGGCATTGCCTAATGTTAGGTGTTGTCACAGCAAAGAAGACATAGAAGACTTAGAATAAAACACAGTTAGAAGAACCTTTGAGGCCAACTTGTCTAGTCTTTCATTTTTGTTGTAGACACAGAAACTAAAAGAGGCAAAGACACATTCCCAAGATTCCATGGCTGAGAGCTAGTGGCTACAGTGTTTATTTCCACTGTTCTTCTCTGCCTTTGAAACAAAGAATTCTTGCCTCCACTGTAGTTAAGATTACTGGATGCATCCCTTTTGGAAATCTGGAATACCTTTTCCAATGGGGAAACTATTGCAAATATGGTTAGACGTGATAGAAATATTGTTCTTGGTACATTATGAGGTAAGTAGACTGTGCATTGACCTTCAGGTCTAATCATATTATGGATACTACACTTGTGTTTGAGTTAAATTTAAGACACTTCTGGGATGAGAGTACACTTTGTATTTTAATATTACTTTGGGTTATAAAAGGGAATAAAACCCGTTTTTAAATATTTCACCTTTAGACTTTCCAGAATTGTGCTTAGCTGTTCGTAAAATACCAGGACATAAAGTGGCATCTTTAAAAGGTATGATGCCTGACTTTAGTAACACCCACTGTGAACCCTTTTTCATATTTCGTTCTTATTAATATGTTAAAAAGGTTTTTAATATTTAGTATATAGCTCCTTTCTGTAAATGCAGAAATTCAGTGCCAGATAGATCGAGATGAGTATTCAACACCAGGGATATTTATGAACAGTTGTACTTCTGAATTTTGTGAAATGGTGTTTATTATAATTCCAGATGGTCAAACTACTCTTGTCTAGAGGTGCCAATATTAATGCTTTTGACAAGAAAGACAGACGTGCTATCCATTGGGCAGCTTATATGGGTATGTACTTTTAAAATTTATTTATTTACATTACGTATTCAGGAAAAGTTGTACATTTTAGTTCTTGCGTTTGATGTCACATCTGTCTTTTAGGACTGTGAGAAGTTATACCATATCTGAGTTTGCTGCCCAAGTAGAACAAGCTTGGTAGTGGGGAAGGTTTGCCAGAACAGGTGGGCATTGGGTGTAGTTCTCCTAAAAATTGTTTGAGATTCTGTTTACCTTTAAAGGAAGATGCAAGCCTGGGATACGTAATTTAGATTAGAGTTTCCGAAAAGCCCATTCTCATACCGATTCTTGTTTTTATGGGACTATTAAGGTAGAAGTTATGAAGAAACATTAGAAAGCCTATTATTTTAGACCAAGCTCTGGGATAAATAAGTATCATCATGTTTGAGTTCTACAACAGTAATTTCATAGAAAGAAACTGAGGCTTACAGTATACGCTTTTCTGCTGTAACATGATATATGCGTTCTTGGGAAAAATCTTAGGATCTCCAAAATTGCATTCAAAAGCTTAACAGAGCTCATGAGAAAATGGTCCTGGGGCAGACCGCCCAAATCCTGTGCAACTCTGTGATGAAGCACTAACAAAAACATTAATTGGTTCTTGAGGTAATTTAGACAGCTTGGCAGGAAGCAGATCAGCTTACCTCAGAATATTTCAAAATGGACAAAAGAGCAGAGTAAAATGCTGTTCTGTGGGTGCTAAGATCATGCAGGCAGTATATCTCCAAGCTTGGAGGAAGACAACCTGCCACAAACCTTGCAAGTTCTGCAAGGCTAGGGCTGTATGTATGTCTGGGAGGAAGCCATTGACATAGGCATTCATTTTTGAAGTTTCTTAAAATAGAACTGAAAGAACTTCTCCCACTGCAGCCATGGAGCTCAGGGCTTTTTTTCTCCTTCTGCCGGAGGATATCATTCTGCTTTCCCTGTTCTGGCTCCTCTGGCTTAGGAAGAATCACAGAAGGACTGACATATCTTCTCTATAATACTTGTATCATTCCTTGATTTACCCACTCACACTGCCTGATGACAAAGACATCTAGCTAGCCACCTTTCTTAAATAGGAATAACTTGTCGTCACCACTCCCTGCTCTTGGTTTTGTCTTTTCCTATATCTCACTTAAAAATAAAAGATTAAAGGAAGATTTGACGGAAGGTTATTAATTTTAAATACTATATAAAATTGTAAAATAGGAAAATGTAAGAAAACAACCAGTTATCAATAACCTTAAGGTCCAGGAAAATCCTTTGCATATAGTATAAATAACCAAAAACAGTTGAACCCATCTTGAATTGCAAGTCTGACCTTTAGTGTGAGTGTAAAGGAAGATCAAAAATGAAGGATTATATCCTCGTCAGCTGGCCCTTATTTTGAAAGCCAAAAGCTAAAAATCTGGGCTCTTGATGTTTCTTTCACACCAAAGGTTTGTGCTTCTAGTTAGGTCATGGGCAATATTCTTCTGTTAATTGAAGATAAAATCCAGAAGCATGTCTCCTGTGGCATCCTAAAGTCCCCTCCTCAAGCCTCTAGATTTTCCATATTTTACATGTTAGGAACTTCTCTGAATATTCTGGTGTAGTTTATTCTTCAAGAAAGCTTAGGAACAGCTAGTCTGTGTGATTTGAAACTATATATACACCTTATATTAAAGAGTTTACACATTAAGTAGAGTGCATCAGTCCTTTCCTCCAAAGAATTAAACTTGACTAAACAGCTGTTTTTATGAAATTGAAGTCCAGGGAATTTTATGAGATATCTCTAATGGAGCTCCCAGGCTAACTGGGTGTGTGTATCTCATGGGCCCTTGGATGGCTTTGTTTTCTTTGATACCCTTAAGTGTCACTTTTCAAGTCAGTCGTGGATTGAATTCTCCTTTCCCTGTCTCTTCTTTCCTCTAAGCATGGAAAAAGAGGAATATTGACACATAGCTTTTAAAACTGTTCAGCTGTCCTAGGCATTCAGGATTAAAGAAAGTTAAACATATGAAAGTAGGGAGCTCTTGGCTTATCTAATAGAGAAGCCTGAAGTCCAGGTCATTGTCACCTCTAGGTTATATTCAGAGAATCTGTCAATATTAGTGTAAGAAACATTAGGATTATATATAGTCATCTTATAATTTATTTCTTACTGGCTTTCTTATTTGGCTTGGCCTTCTGTCCCATGGTTGAGGCTTTCCTCACTTTTCTCTTAGGCTCTACCTCTTATCTTTGTGCTATTATTGAATTCTCTGTCAGTGTTCCCCAGTCCCCACCTCTGTCTCTAAATAAATCGATCATTTGCCACTCTTTACCCCCATTTTTGCTTCTACCATGAACCTTCATTTAAGATACCTTTTACACATTCATCTTTTTATTGCTTTCAGTACTTTTAGCAACATCCAGCCAAATTCTACCTCAAATCACTTTCCCATGATGACTTTAACAAAGAAGGTACTGAATAAGTATTAATTACCTTGATTAGCAACTCAGTACATTATTTCTTATGCTTCTCCGTTCATTTTTTTCATCAATGCATTTGAAAGATTGGAAAGAGACATCCAAGCAGGACATTCCGTACAACAAAGGAATCCCATGAACAGAGGCACAGAGGTGGGAAGGATAATGGGAGGAAAAGAAAGCACCGTATGATCTAATGTGATAAAAAGCGAGGAGCTATAAAAGGAGAATTAGTAGTTCTGCCATCTTCCAGATACATGTTCTTGTTTCTGGCTTCCATGTGTGGTTGGGTAGGGCTGAGACTAGTTTTGACCAGTGAACTGAAAGCAGCATCACCTCTGGGCCAGAGCATTTAATTACTGATGTGAGACTCTGCAGTCTATTCCCCCTTCTGTCACAGTGACCAGCCACATTCAACATGGTGTCAGCTGCATAAACCTGAGTCCTTGAATGACTGAGCAGAGCCCTGTTGCCAAGCTATTACAGTGTTAATGAGAAATAAAACAATAATTATTTAAGCCACTGAGATTGGGGAGTTGATTATTAACCACAGCATATATAATCTAGCCTATTCTGATTGATACAAGGTGAATAATAAACCAAGCTTGTTAAGGACATCTGGTGGAAATACTAGAGGAAAAGAGATTTTTAGCTCCATGTTCTAAAGACCTAAACATTTTCAAGTAACAAGCCTAAGTCACTCCCACATTTCCAAGTAGAAGATTACACTAAGGCAGAGAAACATAAACTAATGTTTTATATTAGACATATAAAGCTAACTTCAGATCTTGAAAATGTATTAAAACAACCTCGAAAACAATAAGATCTAGGAAAAAGGAGGGTTATGGATTGCAGGGTTATCACTGGATAAAATTATCAAATGTATATTTTCAATTATTACTTCTATCGACATTGATCAAAATTATTCCGAATTCTTTTTTTTTCTTCTTCCATCCTCTCTCTGGTTATAACATGATTTCTTGGTAACTTGTCATGCATTATCTAGTTAATAGGCATTTTTAAAGATGTTTAGGATTATATTTCATATTTATCATGTCCTCATCTGTTCATTTTCTTCTTCATAAACACATTTTCAGGTCACATTGAAGTAGTGAAATTACTTGTGGCACATGGAGCTGAAGTAACATGCAAGGATAAGAAGTCTTATACACCTCTTCATGCTGCAGCCTCTAGTGGAATGATCAGCGTAGTCAAGTACCTTCTAGATCTTGGAGTTGATGTAGGTATATGGACTGAGCAGTATAAAAGAATGGAGCATTTTATATGTTGTAATTTCATCGTTGGCAGAAGTTATTTCAAATTTAAAAGATTATTTCACACAATAATGTTTTTGTCTTTTAAGCAGATATTTATAATGCACCGATATTTGTTCAAGACATGTAATTAGTCAAAGTATATTAAGAGGAAAAATACATTTCAAATGATTGATTGACAGAAGTTTTTCTTCTGCATCATATTACAGGCCCTACAGCTCCATTTCAGCTATGGAAACCAACATATCAGACACACTTGGATTATATTTCCTAAGTGGCTAGGTTATTATTAATCTTATTTGCCCAGTTAGTCTAATATTCCCTTTAAATGACTATAGCAGTTCACATTACAGGATATTGGCAAGAGCTAGGCAGAGAAACTAGAGGTTCTTGCCCATCAACTGTAAGTGTTCCTTAGTATATAAGGAACACCTTAAGGAATGGTTGCTGCTTTATCTGAATATATTTGGTTCCTGAACTGAGATAGCTAAAGATACCTGTAGCTTTCACAGGCCATCCTTTAAGCACAGGTACTTTACACCTACTTTTAGTATATTTACTCTTATTTTATGTACAGTTGTGACAAAATTTGGTTTAAAACACAGAATAAAAGCAGCAGATTAGAAGGAGAAAGGGTAAGGCTCTGCTAGATGCAGTTTAGATCAGCTACAAAAAAGAGAGAGAGAAAGGTAGGTGGTGGTCTGGTTGGACAAAGAACATGTGGCAGAACTATAGGGTTGAATAGACTTTTAATTTAAAGACTGTGTGAAGACTTTGCCTAAAGCAACCAAGTAGTTATTAAAAGTCTAGGGATCTCAAGAAATTGGAATAATGTAAACACATTGTCAGGTATGATCTCTGATAGTACAAATGGATAAGTTTTATTTCAGCTCAACAGTTTCTGTAGCTCTATTTCAACACAATAACATAATGCTTTTAAAAGCCACTCACCTAGATAAATGAGAGAGCCTTATTTCTGATCACCATTTCAGGTCCATTCTGGTGCGGTTTTTTAAACTGTATTGACAGTACAATAACGTTTGTAAACCTGGTGACAGAGTATTCTTTGAAATAAGTGGTCAGACTCAGAGCCATTTAGTGACATGTGGTCTCCAGTTGGGTGATTTATTAGTTTCCCAGGGCTGCCATCACAAATTACCTTAAAGTGAATGACTTAAAACAAATTTAATCTCTCAAAGTTCTGGATGCTCTGAGGGAGAATCTATTCCATGTCTCCTACCTTTTGATGATAAAATCAAGGTACTCTGACTAAAGTTGTTACTTTTTCACTTCCGCCAATTTCTGTTAACTAAAGATTTGAGAAAATGTTAAGTAAAGTTGTGGTAAGTTGGGGACAACTATAAGGTTAGAGGGCACAGCCTCCAAGACTACCTATTACTTGACCAACTGCAAGTTTGAAGGGTTTCCCAAAACTACCTTCAGGTTTCATAATTCACTAGAATCAATCAAAAAACTCACTAAAAGCTATTATATTTACAGTTATGGTTTATTACACAGAAAAGATACAAATTAAGATCAGCCAAAGGAAAAGACACTTAGAGCAGAGTCCAGGAGTATTCTAAACAGAAAGCATTCCATTGGCCTCTCCCTGTAGAATTAGGACTCCTTACCCTCCCAGCATCAATGTGTGACAATACGCCCATGGTATTGCCAACCAGGAAGACTCACCTGAGCTTTGTTTTCAGAGTTTTTAATGAAGCTTCATTACATAAGCATGATTGATTGATCAGTTGCCCACATGATTGATTTTGATCTCCAAGTCAATTGATACCAAGAAACCCAAAGTTACCACCCTAAATCACATAGTTGGTTTATGTGGTATGGTCAGCCCTTATCCTAAGACAGTCAGCTATGGCTAATCCTACTCCAAGATCTAGTATAACCAGTTCCCTCCTAAAATAAGGACACTCCTATCAGGTATACCATAGATTACCTCCCGAAAGGCAAGGTCACAGGCCAAACATCTCTTTAGGCAAAGATCCAATTCTTTACCACACAAAAGTCATGTAGACTTTTGCCATTTTATTAGATCTAGAAAAACTTGAGCTGCATGAATTATTTCTCAATATTGAGCGTATTCTTTTGAGCACATTCATTTTGGTAAAATGTCACATGTAAGGCTGGAAAATATCTAGAGCCCAAGTTTAATGCACAAATGAATTGAATAAATAGAAAAAGATGCTACTCTTTTTTAAAATCCTGATCTCCATTACTAATTTTGTCACTGTAAGTGAAAAGGCTGAAAATATGCATGTTTTTCAAAAAATGTCAGAATTTTCCATTTGTGTTCATTTTTCATGATTCTTAGAGTTAATTCTATAATTGTCCCTTACCTAGGAGGCTTTTGGAAATACGTTATTTTAGCTTTTATTGTCCTAAAATATCTCTCTTGGAATCACTCAGTTTTTTCATGAAGTAGATGTTGTACAGGGAATTATATCTGAATGTACAAAATCCATTTGATACCAAAAGCCGTTTTTAATGTTCAGTGTTTTAAAAGAACTTTAGAATTGTAAGCCTATCTATGTACTTATTTCTGTCTCTCACTTTAATAATTTGATCATAATCACAATGTTGCTAAAATAGCTCACCACAATGATAATTAGCAAAACTACATTAACACTGACATTTTTCTCCCAATAGATGAATGAACCAAATGCCTATGGAAATACACCTCTTCATGTAGCCTGCTATAATGGACAAGATGTTGTAGTGAATGAACTTATAGACTGTGGTGCTAATGTAAATCAAAAGAATGAAAAAGGATTTACTCCTTTGCACTTTGCTGCTGCATCAACACATGGAGCATTGTGTTTAGAGCTTCTAGTAGGCAATGGGGCCGATGTCAATATGAAGGTATGAAATAAAATCAGAATCCATATGTAGTATTAGAAGCTTACTGTTTAAAACAATATCAGTAACAAATATGCAACAAAAAGGAACAGATTACTGATACAGGAACACAGATCAATCTTTAAAATATGTTGAATGAAGCCTTATGCAAGAATATATTCACTATTTCCATTTATATAAGGTTCTAGAACAGATGAAATTCTGTTTATATGGGGTTCCAGAGTCTATATTTGGGGGGAAAAACATCTGTTGCCTCTGGGAGAAGGAATTGCTGAAAAGGGGAGCATAGGGCAACTTTCCGGGATGATGGTAATGGTCTGTATTTTTGACAGACTTTGTGTTATATATATAAACATTTGTCAGAACTAATGAAATTGTTATATTTAGGATGTGTACACTTCATTGCGTGTATATTTTCCCTTAGAAGGTAACAGACCAAACCAATGAAGAACCCGAGTTAATGATATGTATACCAAAGAGTTCAGAGGTAATCCATAGTGATGGGGCTGCAGCCAACTTTGGAAAGCATCCCATAATTGGATGATGGGTGGATGGGTGGGTGAAGATGCATATATAGTAAAATGTTAGAGTAGAATCTTGGTGGTTTGTGTATGGGTAACTGTAATATTCTTTCATCTTTTCTGCTTTGAAAAATTTCACAGTGTTAGAAAAATTAAAAGACCAATATCAGTGTGTTACATATAAGGAATTTGGGTTTTTCGGTCACAATCGCTTTTTAGGTTTTGATCGTAATCACTTTCAGGAATGAACATTTGAATTTTAGAAATATGTGGAAGTTCTGGAGCCAAAATAAATGTACCTTCACTGTGTAAGTCTGTGAAAAAGCACATGCAACCACAATTTTGAACATCACTACTTTACAATGTGTAATTATTATTTTAGATTTTTCAAGATGCTTTCACTGATTTCTTCTGTATTAATTTATCAGTTCATTCTTTAATCACTTGCCAGACTATATCTTGTGGTATGAAGAAAAGAAAACCACAAACAAAATTGAACCATTTAGGATTAGTAAAAACATTAAAGCTTAAAATGTGGTTTTCAGAGGTTTAATTACATGAGATTTCAGCTCCTTTTTTAGATATGATGAGCCAATATCTTTCAAACTGGTAGAGAAAGGAGTCCATTTCCTTATCTCTTTAATTTTAGAGAAGGCCTTAATGATATCACTGATCCACTCTGACAGCTGTAGCAGCAGCAGGCCCATCTATAATTAGGTCATTGTTGTATATTACCCACTCCCAGCTAAAGGACAAAATTTATACATATCATACCTAAGGAAAGAAAGGGCATAAGGTATCTCATAAAGAAATCCACCCCTATTATGCTTACAAGTAAAATGTCTCTCTTCCCCTCTATGCTTTATAGAAATATAATAGACAATTAGTTGCTCATATTTACACTGTACGATTCAATGAGGTTTTTTTAAATTATATTTAGCATATAATAATATACCAGTTTCAGTTGTATAACATAGTGATTAGACCTCAAGTAATGATCCAACTAAATCTTGTACCCCTCTTGCCCCCTACATATTTATTACAACATTGTTGACTATTTTCCTTATGCAACACTTTATATCTCCATGTCTATTTTGTAACTATCCATTTGTACTTCTTAATCCCTTCGCCATTTTTCACCATCCCCTCCAACCATCCCCCCATCTAGTAGCCTTCAAAATATTCTCTATGAGCTTGTTTCCATTTTTGTTGTTATTGTTTATTTTGTTCTTTAGATTCTGCATGTACGTGATATCACATGGTATTTGTCTTTATCTGATTTACTTCATTTAGTGCAATACCCTCTAGGTCCATCAAAGCAATATCTTTTTCCATCCCCTTTTAGTCTGTATGTCTTTTAATTTGAAATGAGTCTCTCGTAGGCAGCATATGTAGGGGTCTTATTTCCTTATCCATTCAGCCACCCTATTTTTTGGTTGGAGCACTTCATTCTTTTCCATTTGAGGTAGTTGTTGATAGATACGTAGTTATTACCATTTTTATTCATGATTTGAATACATGTGTTTTCTTAAAGAACTCCCTCCAACATTTTCTGTAATAGTGGCTTGGTGATAATAAATTCCTTTAGCTTATTTTTGTCTGAGAAGCTCTTTCTCTGTCCTTCAACTCTAAATGATAGCTTTGCTGGGTAGAGTATTCTTGGTAGTAGATCCTGGGTTTTCATCAGTTTATAGAGTATTCTTGGTAGTAGATCCTGGGTTTTCATCCGTTTAAATATTTTGTGCCAAGCCCTTCTGTCCTGCAGAGTTTCTGTTGAGAAATCAGCTACCAGTCTTATGAGTACTCCCTTACAGTTAACTGCTTTTCTCTTACTGCTTTTAAGATTCTCTTGTTGTATTTAACCTTTGGCGTTTTAATTATGATGTGTCTTGGTGTGGGCCTCTTTGGTTTCCTCTTTCTTTGGACTCTCTGAGCTTCCTGGTGTTGTACATCTATACCAGGTTAAAGGAAATTTTCCATGGTTATTTCTTCAAATAGTTTTTCCACTTCTTGTTCTTCTTCTCCTCCTTCAGGTACCCCTAGTATACAGATGTTTTTACACTTAATCTTGTCCTAAAGACTCCTTAAATTATTATTATATCCTGAGCTGCTTTTTCTTGCTGTTCTGATTGAGTGTCCTTGGCTTCCCTGTCCTTTATATCAGTGATTTGATCCTATTCTTTTTCCACTCTGTTAAATTCCCTCTGATAAACTCTTCATCTCAGATAATGTGTTCTTCATTTCTAACTGGTTCCCTTTTATAATTTTCATTTCCATTTTTATGTTTTTTATCTTTTTGTTAAAGTTCTCACTGAGTTCATCTCTTCCACAAAGTTCACTGAGCATCTTTATAACCAGTGTTTTGAACTCTGCATCTTTAGGATTGGTTGGCTCCATTATTTTGAGATCTCTGTTCTGTTCTTTTATACGGTTTCTGCTTCTTTGTCTTCCCATTTGGCTGCCTTTCTGTGTCTGTTTCTATGTACTAAGCAAAGCTCATAAGTCTCCCAGTCTTTTAGCATGGCTTTGTGTAGTAGGTGTCCAGAGGCACAGTCATGAGAGGGGCTCAGCTGCAGGCCAAGTTTAGCCCTAGCCTGCGCCCCTCTGGGGACACCTGTTAAGATTCAGCAAGCAATCTAAAGATGCTGTACTTATAATTACCTCAAGAAACCACACTAGAAACCAAGGTCAACTGCCATCAGTGTGGGTCTTGGAGCTTGCTCTGCAAGTTGCACAGGACTTTCTAAGGACACAACTGGATGTGGCTTGCGTGGGGCCATGAGTTGGGGGAGGCGGAGTTTCAGGGAATCCTCTGGGTGGAGTGACCTCTGTTATCCAGTTTGATGATGTCTCAGCTATGGCAGCACCAAGGCCCCACACTGGGAGTGGGGGAGGGCTCAACAGAGGAACAATGGATATCTCCAGCACTTCTGCCTGGGAGAGAGACTTGGCTCCTCGGCCCTCACTCCAACAACTCAGCCTAGTAGGGCTTGTTCATCTAGACCCCAGGTGACTCTGCTTGCTGTTTTCTCCATGTTTCCATCACAACTTTGATGTGGTCGTAAGAGGAGATGAATGAAGCCTTTATCACCTATGCCATTTTTTCTGAGAGAGCCTAAAATGTCTCATTTAAGTATATTTAAAGCTTTCTGTTCTCAAATTACCTAACTTTTTTAATAGTTGAAATAATTACTAAAAAGTTATTGATAATATTTGAATTGCTTATTTTAATATTAAGAATTCCTGCTTTTTGGATAATCAAGGCCCAGAAAAATATCGAAACTCTTGTGGAAGTGGGAGAATGTGTTACTTGTTTCCTCAAAGGCCTGCTAATATTTTTTAATGAAGATTAGGCTATTTCAAAAATAGAATTTTGTAATAATCTTAACATTCCTCAAAATAAAAGATCACAACTAAATATTTTTAGTCTCTATGAGACCTGTTTATGATGAAATGACTAGCGAAGATCATCTGTATGTGTTAAATATTCAGTATCATAGAATAAGGGAGGCTTACCTATATTAACTATTACACATTTTTTAGTTTATATGAGTTATCCTTAAAAGGTAAAAATTAGACTTTTTATGCAGTGCCATTTAGACATGAATATTTAATATAATTAGATGATAATGAATCCTGTGATTCCTATGTCAGTGCTTACATATCTGACTCATGTACCTGTGATTTATTTTTAATTCTATATTTTCTTTTTAAATGTAGGAATAAGAATTAGTCCTACAAGAGGATCACTTAATAATGCTCAGACCATGGTCTTATTTGAAGTTACCTCCTTAATGATTTAGAAAATTCATTGATGGATTTTACACATAACAAGGGAATTTTTTAACAAAGCAATTAATATATATATTGGTTAAGTAGATTTGAAGGCAACAGCCTATGATGTTGATTTTAAAACAGATTTCACAAAAAGTTGCCTTAATCTTGCCTAAGGATGTGTGACATCCAGTTTATATGCAGTTGTCCAATTATCTTGTTGCCATTTTCCATTGGAACATGTTCCCCGTGTGGTTAATGATTTCTAAGGTGCCTTCCAGCTCTGAAATTATACAAAAGTTGTTGATAGCAGTGAGTTTTCAATAAGAATGTACAGTAAGTCCTCGCTTAATGTTGTTAATAGGTTCTGCGATTTTAAGTGAAATGACATAATGGAATGAAACTAGTTTTACTGTAGGCTAATTGATATAAGCAAAAGTTCTGTGGCATCTCATCAATATTATGATAAAACAGCGTTATTTGAGGGCCTGCTATATATTCGATAGGACTATATAGGAAACACAGGTATTAGGAATGAAGATATATTCTTGAAGATATATTCTTGAATATATCTTCATTCCTAATACCTGTGTTTCCCATATTTGTCAAATCAGTTCTTATCAAATTGTTCCTTAACTAAGGATCTAAGGCTTTGACACTTGCCTTACATTAAAAATTATATTTGTTAACCCTTATGTTCTTATCAGATCATCTCTTTCTCCTTGCTTTATCTTTTTCTCTTATTCCATTCTCCAATTTTATGTTTCTGCCCTTGATTAAGTTGCAGATGACTAGAAATTGGAATGTGACTTTCGGTTTATAACTATTCAGTTTATAAGTTTTTAAATTGATTGTCCTACAGAGTACTTACTACACGGAGGGAAAATGAATGGAATTTAAAGCAATATAGGTCTGGTTTTTATAACCTTGGTTAACATGATCCCTGCTGCATTGATTGTAGCACTTACATATACACCTTTTACCACCCCACCCTGTTCTTCCTTAAGAATAAATTTTGGTCACATAAACTAAATACCCCAAACACTTGATTTAAAATGTAAACCTAAAAAGTACTGTAATATGTATAGCTTTGTTGTCATTGTTGCTATTTTGGGGCACCTGTGAAAGAAACTCTTAGAATTTTGGTGGATCTTTTTTGTTGTTGTTTAAAATTTCTGATTTGATACTAAAATGAATTCAGATGACTTAAAAAACACCTCCCCATTCTCTCCTCAATTCAGAGAAAAATAAATATGCTTTCCTCCCTAACTTGTCTGAGGTAGACTTTTTACTTGGTAATCTGATTCGCTTTTTCCTTTGTTATATTTAGAATGCTTTTTATGACCACTATGTAGAAAGTACAAATGTTAATCTATTGCCATCTGTATGCTTATAGTAAAGGACTTGACCACTTATTAAAGCTATGAGACCTGGTTTTGTTACTTAACCCCAGGGCCTTAAAACAGAGATAATGGTACCTATCTCATAGGGTAGTGAGGAGTAAATGACTAGTATATATGAAGTATTTTTAAACTGTGCCTGGAATAAAGCGCTTACTATATCTATAAATGTCAGCTATAATTATATCTTTCAAATTTTACCATTTTATGGTAAAATTAATGTCAAATTTGGTAAAATTAACGTCAGATTTACCATTTTAACATTTACTATGTTACAGACTCAAATTTTTATTACAGTTTAGTTTTTGTCTGTAGGTAAAAGATTAACAAAAATCAAGTTATGTCATATAGAGGATATTTTGAAAAGACACTACAAACTGAAATCCCTTTATTAAAATGTTTTTGTGCTTTTTTTTTCTATTTAAAAGAAAAACAGCTGGTACATAACTAAAAATACCACATATAAATGATAGTTTGTAGTGTAACAGACACTAGTGTGTTAAATGGATATTTTACGAAGATTATTATATTTATTCTGTACAACAGACCTATTAGATATTACATTCATTTTCAACTGAGGGAGTGAAGGCTCAGGCAAGTTCTCTAAAATCTTGCTATAGCAAGTAACAGCTGGGATTCATTCTCAGGTTATTCTAACTCCAGAGCCTGAGCTAGCTTGTTTCCTTGCTTGGTTTTTTTTCTACCTCTTGTTGCACACAGTGCCTCCAAAAGATTAAAGATTCTTTAAGATAACTTGTCATTTGGATGGTTTGTCTGCTTGAAAAAAGTAATATAAAAATACGTAATCAAGTACCTAGATAAGTATTTATGAAGTTAATCTAACAATCCATTATTAATGACATGAGGGTTTCTTAAGGAGATCTGCATAATGCAATTTTAGTATGTTTTGACACTTGCAACATTTCAATTTTGAATATATACACAGCAGGTATGTTAAATTTTGCTGACAGATTAGGAATTCCAAATTTTTTTCCTTTGTGAAGGTCACATGTATGTTTTGATTAACAAAAGAATTTCAGAGAATAAAAGACTTTAAATTTACCTAACTCAGAATAAAAGATGTCACCTAATTCAGGTATTGTTTTTCTTCATATTTGGAGCTCCTTTAGAATTTCGGAATTTTAAATATATACATGTATTTATTATTTTAAGTAATTTGAGAAAATAGCTAGTAATAGTTATTACAAATAATTACATACAAGAATATATCAAGTTTTTTAAGTGAATTATAGTAGCTGAAGTTAATTCTGACATTCACTTTTCCTTGGTCTAGGAGGGATTCAGTATTTCTTAGAATGAAAGAATCGTAGCAATGTGAAATTTTTGAAATGTGGAAAGCACATCCTCTCTGTACCACTCCCAATTGTGTGATCTTGGTTGAGTCATTTAATATCCTCATGCTTCACTTTCCCCACTATGATATGATACAGGAAGGGTACTAAGATTACACTGTACCTACCATACAGAGCTTTTTTATAAACTGTAGGCATTGGTTTTTTTTTAATATTTGTCATTTATGATGTACATGCTAACAAAATTAGTTCATAATTTTGAATAGTTGTTTTACCTCCATAGTCTTTAGTTAAACTTAATGCTTGAGTAATAGTTGTACAAAATAAAGATGCAAGAGGACATTCAAAATAAAACTAAGGATTACATATTATGGACATAACAGTAATTTTACATTTCTTTTGTTTGATTATTTCAGAGCAAAGATGGGAAAACTCCACTGCATATGACTGCCCTCCACGGTAGATTCTCCAGATCACAAACCATTATCCAGAGTGGTAAAAAGTATTTCTGTTTGTTTTTTTTCTTAAATGTAGTAAAAACATCCACAAAATAAGTGGTATTGAAGCTTTGTCATAACAGTCTATATATTTTTAATATTTGATATCAGATGTCATGAAAATTAAATAATAATATAAAATGCCATGTATACATATGTTTCATAATTGTTTTTATTTTTATTTTTTCCCTCTGGATTATAAATATAATTTCTCTAACAGCGTTGGTTTTTTAAAAACATTGCTAAAGAGAAAACTCCCTTTCCACTGCAGCTTGTATTATGTATTAATAAAACTTTCGCAAATATCTCCTTTGAATATTGTAAATAATTTTTAGCATTTTCATTTATTTTCTGAACTTATGTTCTTTAGCATTTGAATTAATACTAGGCAAGCTATACTTTTAAATAAAAAGAACTTTTAGGTGTATTACTTTAAAGCAATGTTTCCCAAGCCATGTTACAAGGAACTGTTTGTTAGAAATCCTCAAGAAAATAGCTGTTACAGTTTCGCAGGGGAAAAGTAGAAATAAATCCATGATGATAATTTGTGAAGCATTGCACATAATCTTCTTGATGACACGTAGAGTATGTCTATATTAAAGCTTTGAAAAGTCTTGCCCTAAAGAATGGTGTTTTAATTTTGTTTTAATGCAGTGGTTTCCAAACTTAGTGGACCCCAGAACATATAAAACTAATTCCAGTGCCTGGCACAATAAATGTACTATGATTCAAATCTAGTTAAATTGCTGTATCAGTTAGTTTGTGCTTGACTAGCACTTTATCTTACTTTTCATGTAATAGATTTGACTTGATCTTTATATAGTCCAGACTGATAATATGTCCTTTATTGCAGGAGCTGTAATCGACTGTGAGGATAAGAATGGAAACACCCCTTTGCACATAGCAGCAAGGTATGGCCATGAGCTGCTAATCAACACTCTTATTACAAGTGGTGCTGACACTGCAAAGTAAGTACTTACCAAGGTGTTGATAGCTGTAACAGGGAAAACACAGAAGGAAGCGAACTGCAGTTTCCTAGATAGTTCGTATAGAAATGTGGATTTTGTTCTCAATACTATACTGATTTGCTGGGGCTTTCTCCTTTGTGTTTGTGATGTGATAGAATAGAATGTTTAATACGATTTCATTTGGTAAGCCAGCATAGAATAGTCTTATGTCTTTTTACCCCAGTTCTTTCTAGATTGTGCAGTTTTGATCAGAGCTTTTAATTATTATGGTCTACTTATTTTTAATCTAAAAGTAAATAAAAGACCTGAAAAAGTTTATATACCGAATACTTTTTTGTTTTCATCCAGGTAATACTATCCGTAGATAGTGGTTTTCAGACTTTGTGCTACAGAGCTTAGGGATTCATTCCTAAGCCGACTACTTTGCTCAGAACAGCTCATTTTTATCTACTTTATATGTTAAAATTTCTCTGTAAGATTTTGTTTAAAAGATGGATTCTCTTGCATGCTCCGCAGAAGTAAATACCCTACTTAAATAGATGTTTATCATGCCAATGTATGTTGTTGTAATTCTGTTACATTTATATATTCATTAAAATGTTTTAAACCTTTAGACTTCCTATAAATGATATGCCTCTGTACACTTATTTTTTCTTTTTATATGAAGTTGTTGATTTAGCATGTAGTTATAAATTTGGGCTTTTTTCATATCTCTACAAGTATCTCTAGTTCGTTCATTTTGTAAAATTTAATTATTATATAAATAATTCTGGGGTCTGGGGGAATGGCGTAGATAATAGAGGCTCTGTTCATTCCACTGGCAACCAAATCAAAGTTGTGACAGACACAAGGAGCAGCAGCAAGGAAAAATCTGGAATCTAGATGAACAAGCCATACAACTAGGGAGAAATCTAAGATATCACCCTGCAACAGCAGAAGGTAGGACGGAGCGAGGACGTGGGGCTGCCCGGTCTCAATCGGCTGAGTGGGACGTAGGCGGCGGCGGCGGCGGCAGCAGCAGCAGCAACAGCAGCGGCAGCAGCAACAGCAGCGGCGGCAGCAGCAACAGCAGCGGCAGATGCCTCTTAAAGGGGCCTCGGCTGAGTGGGACGTAGGCGGCGGCGGCGGCGGCGGCGGCAGCAGCAACAGCAACAGCAGCGGCAGATGCCTCTTAAAGGGGCTGCATTCAAGGAGCAAATTTTCGCCATGAAGGACCTGCTCGATCTGAGCACTGGTGCCAATTCAGCCGCATGCAGGGGCACTAGGGACTTAAAGGGATACATTGTCGGAGTGAGGGCCCAGGCGAGACTCTCTGGGTACAGAAGTGCCGGCAGTATCCATTGTTCCCTGTTGAGTCCTCCCTGCTCCCATTGCGGTGGACACAGTGCCACCATAGCCCAGACATCATCAAACTGGATAGCAGAGGTTGCTCTGCCCAGAGGATTCCCCGAAACCCCACCTCTCCCAACTTGTGGCCCCACCCAGGCCACATCCAGGTGAGTCCTCAGCCACTCAGGTGCTCCTTGCTGAGTAGCACCTAGGCTCCCATTGGAAGCAGCTGGCCTCGGTTTCTGGTGTGGCCTTTTGAGGCAACTATAAGCACAGCATCTGTGGATCGCTTGCTGAATCTTAACAGGTAGCCCCGGAGGGGCAGAGGCTTGAGCTAAATTTGGCCTGCAGCTGAATTCCTCTTAGGACTGTGCCACTGGACACTTCCTTCACAAATCCACGCTAGTAAGACTGAGAGACTTAGGAGCTTTGCTTACTACATAGAAACAGACATAGAAAGGCAGCCAAAATGGGAAGACAGGAAGCAAAAACCGTATGAGAAAACAAAACAGAGATCCAGAAATAATGGAGTCAAGTAATCTAACAGATGCAGAGTCAAAACACTGGTTATAAAGATGCTCAATGAACTTTTGGGAAGTGTAGATAAATTTAGTGAGAACTTCAACAAAGAGGTAAAAAACATAAAAATGGAAATGGACATTATAAAAGGGAACCAGTCAGAAATGAAGAACACATTATTTGAGATAAGAAGTATATTAAATGGAATAAACAAAGTGAATAAAGAAGAGGATCAAATGACCTATATAAAGGATGGGAAAGCTAAGGACATTCAATCAGAATGGCAAGAAAAAAGAAGCCAAGACTATAACAATAAGTAAGGAGCCTATGGGACACTATTAAAGGTAAAAATATTCATCTCATCGGCGTACCTGAAGGAAAGCAAGATGTTGAACAGCTGTTTAAAGAAATAATGATGGAAAACTTCCCTAACCTGGTGAAGGAAATAGACATGCAAGCCCAGGAAGCTCAGAGAGTCCAAACAAGATGAACCCAAAGAGGCTAAGACACATCATCATTAAAATACCAAAGTTTAAATACAAAGAGAGAATCTTAGATGCAGCAAGAGAAAAGCTGTTATCTACCTACAAGGTAACAGCTGTCAGCTGATTTTTCAACAGAAACTTTGCAGGCCCAGGAGGGATTGGCACAAAATATTCAAAATGATGAAAAGGACCTACACCCAAGATTATTCTACCCAGCAAAGCTATCATTTAGAATTGAAGGGCAGATAAAGAGCTTCCCAGACAAGAAAAAGCTAACGACG